GAAGGTTGTTTTAAAGATACAGCTGCCGAATGAGCCGCAGCGCAGCGCGATGCGCGATTCCGAAAACTATCACTACTCCACAAACGCCATCCGACACGCATGCTTTGCTATTGGTCCGCCCAAGCTCCCAGTTGCTGTCGCATCCACACGGAGGACATTACACTTTGGAAACACTGCCCACTGTAATTAATACGTGACATTTGGGCGCGTGCAATTAAAGCGCGTCGCATAGAGCGCCCTCCAGCCGGCTTTCTCCATCCTAATGCGCAACTCTTGCCGGCTGCTATCGTGACCTTACACATGCTTCTTTCGCAAACCAACGGTCCGCCACTACCCGCCATGGCTCCACGTGCTCCTATATCCGAGGACCCCCCCGTTCCCCTCCATCCCCATCCGCCATACGGTATGTGCACACAAACCCACAAACCACCCGGTGCTCCTTGCTCCCATCCTCCCACTGTATCCGTAACGCCTCCGTCCCTCCCTCAGCTTCAGCATCCCTTTGCCCGCGCCTAAAACCATCCCTGTCACGCCCAGAGCGTCGGTCCTGACACTAGTTTACAGCATTGAAGAATCAATACGAACGTCAGCGACGAATACAGCACATTGATATCCTCGCCTTTCAGCACACGCGCGCCCCAGCTGTCTTGCAAGCGCAAGAGCAGGCAGTCGGAACGCAACATCAATCTTTGCATGTTTGCCATCCGACCATCTCTCCAATTGTTACCCGCCTTGCTGCTTGCTCCATGTCGAGAGGGGATCTCTCTGTCGAGACGTTAGTTTTAGCCTCGACAGGCCGTTTGCGGCAACACCAAATCCTCGAGAGATCACGCTTTAATGCTTACTCGCATTCGTTCCTCTCATCTTCACCACACAGCCACCACAGTACAAACCTGCTGTAATACACCACCGCGCAGCATCCGCTTTATCCGCTTTCGCCTTCCCGTCCCACCTTTGGGCACTTCTGTAAACTATACAGTACCTTGCACACAGGTTTCTTCTCTGAGCCCATACCTCTCAGCATCAATACTTGTAACGTGCGCACATCCATCACCAGTTTCCTGTCTTGCGCCCTGCACCCCTTCTGCAATTATATCCCGATTCCTTGCTGCATTTTTGCATCCGATCTCACTCTGACTCCCAACCCTGATTGCAATGTCAAAAAGCTGCAGCCTGCAGCTTCCCCACCCTTTTTCGCGAAACTACGCCTTCGGTCGCACGTACACCTGTAGTACCTTCTCCCCTCTCCAACAAGAAGAGACGACCCTTGCACCCCCCCTTGCACCATCTTCTACCTAGTCGCCCCTCCGTAGATGCACATAACCTTATCTCTTTGCTTTCACGACCCAAATCTAAGGTCACCCACATCAACAACCATGTACAGCATATACAGAACTCTCACGCGAAATAATAAACTCTCCAGCTTTTTTCTGTAGCCCTCAGTGATTAAAAACCGCTTGTGGTGCTTTTCATTTGCGAGGCGGGTCCGCTCCTGTTCGAAGGAATAATCGTCGAGGTAGACGATAGAAATTCGGATCATGCCGGTCATGCCATTTCTGCCAACTCAAATTATAGTACAGACAACAAGGTTGCATCCTGGTCCAGGGACTTCTTTCATTCATCCATGTCTGTTGTACGAAAAAGCCCCCTATTTTTCATTCAACAAGGGATTCTATTAAGAGCCATATGAAGATGAATTATTTCGTAGACAGGAGCGCAAGGGAAAAGCATCACGTGCCTTATCATGATATACCGCACTCCATATGTTCTTTGAGGCTACAAATCGCAAGTAAAGCTTTAACATTGTACACATTTGTAGCTCCTATTACTACTGCCGTAAAACCTTGTTCAAAGAATATGCCACATAAGGACAACCACGATATAAGGAGAGGTGTGAGGAACTACAATTAGGCACTCCCAAAATATTCTCTCAATTATCGTGTAATTTTCAACTCAATATTATAAGATTTTTTAGGAGGATATTATAGAAAATGGCCCTTATAGAATTTATAAAACCCTATAATACCCTCCATAAAATCCTGAAAACGCCAAGAGTTAACCATATCGAAGGCTAACCCTAAAAACGCTCGAAATCAACGGCAAAGGTGAGGAAACCCCGCAAACGTGGAAAAGCAAGCATTTTTTTGATAATTGAGGAATAATTTTCAAGTCGTTCATCACTGCACGACGGATATCCCTTTCATACAGTACGACTATAACTCCAGGGATGAACTGTTTATACATAGATCGGGATTCGCAGTACATTGTTGTGCGTATCCGTCAAAAGCTGTCTTACCCAGAAACTTTGCAAATATTATTTCTGTTCAGCTAGATCTTCGATACTGTCTGTTATGTTATAATTGATAAAAAATTTGCAACTCTTTAGCCCACTGTAGTCGTATAAAGTACGACTTGGAGAAGCCGAGAAAGCTATGTATTTAAATCAGCTCAACAAAAGTTTGATGATTGTAAGCATTGAGAAGTTCGGAGCTTTTGCACGGCAAAGTGATGACGCCTTCTCAAGAAGTAGCTACAAAAAAATGCATGTAAATGCTCTTGGCTTCAAATGACAAAAAGTAATGCAAACGAGCCATTAGATCTTGAGAAATTTGAAAGTGTCTTATCTGGATCAAATGTCGTCTACATACGAGCCCCCAGGTGATAATGTTCGGTATGGATGTGACGTTGATGATGAACGTAGTGAACGCAAACTTTCCACTCACGAGTCCTTGATCTTATTTGACTCGTGAAGATGTCTGGCCATCGAGCTGAGGATGGACAGGATTGGAATAACTAGTGTCTATCGGGGCCGTTAGTCCTCCTATGAGGACAAAAGTTGTTTTTATTTTTTGTAGACAATGCAAAGCGCGATTTAACTTCTGTTTTGTTTGGCAAATAGAAGTCCATCATCACAAGTAAAGCATCTGCTCGTCAATTCTAGCGAAAACCAACTCGTTGACGCACATAAAGGTGTTCAAAAGAAAAAATCGGCTTACAGTAAGCATTTTTCTTTTAAGCTCATTTTATACCAGTACGTGTAACATAGAAACATTCTGTAGAGTGCTTCTATTCGGTTCTAACTTGAGAAAAAATATAAAACGAGTCAACCTCCCAAAGAAAAATAGAAACCGTAGGCATCAAAGTTGAAAAGGAATACCATGAGCAGATTTTTATGCTATGATAACGCTTGGTCGGATAGACACTGGATGAGGACAACGTCTGATAGACACTAGTAGAGCAAAGGATTCCTTGTGGGAGTTGGCGTGCCTTCGCTGGAACAAGAAAAAAAAATCAAGTGCTGCACAGGTAGCGGCCTGTCAATTTCTATCATACCTGTTTCAAATCAGCAGCGGTACAGTATTACAGTAATGTGAAGTCCCACGGAGCGTAAGTCTATCGACAAACTGTCGTCCACAGCCGTGCCGCATCGGCCTCGACCACGTGCCGTACACATACTGTACTGTCCAGTAGTAGTCGATGCAGTGTCAATTCCGAATAGCGGTGGCAGCCAACCTCACTCGGGGTTTGGAGACGTGAACTGCTCATGTGGCCTCTCATCACGCAGCTCCATCATCAACAACACGAAATACGTTTCACAGGCTTTGGCCGACTGACTCCGAACTGCTTGATCTCTCTCATGCCTCGCGGGCCTGTGCGGTCATCCCCCGTCATCTTCCTCCAGCTCTCGTCAAGGCTTCCCAGACCCTACGCCTGGGATGGCGTCTCTGCTTCTTCCTTTACGTGCCAATGCCAACTACAAACTCTTCCTTATTGAGTTCCTTGCTGTGTTCCTATGGGTCACGTCAACACTCTTTGCATATTTCCTAACGGCCACACCACTCTTACATTCTTTATCTCCCTCAATTCGATCACTCCATCCCGCTTATGTATTCTATTCCCTCCTCGTCGCCCTCATGGCCATCTGGGAAATTTTTGGCCTCGCTCTCGGGTCCACCTTTAACCCTTGCGTGACAATTTCTCTTACCCTCGCCGGTGAGACGGCACCAATTCATGCCATCGTTGTGATATTTGCTCAGTTCCTGGCACATATCGCAGCCGCGTTTGTCGTTCGTATCTGTGCGAATATACTTCATAAAGATATAGATGGCATCTTTCATCCCCCGCAACCACACAAGCATATCTCCTATTCAAAGGCAGTCGTCATTGAGGCTCTCATCACCGCCTTGCTCTGTGTCGTCGCGCTCTCCCTCAAACATATATTTCATGAAAAGGCAACTTTTAAGAAGTGGTCCCTCATGACCATGCTCGTTGTCGCCGTTCTTGATGTGGCAGGTGAATGGACAGGTGGTTGTATGAACCCTGCCATGTCATTTGCCCTTGCCGTACTTGAAGGCCATTGGGCCGCACATTCTGTGTACTGGGTCGGACCGATGGTTGGTGCAGTGGTTGCAGCTTGCATGTACAACAACATTTTGAGAACAAGAAGGCGAGGCATCCGAGAGCGAATGAGGGCGCGCAAGGACAGAGCTGCGACGAAGAAGATTTGATCAAAGGATGACCGTCTTTATTGCGCACGTGTATGTCAAGTGAGTCCGCTGCGCCATCCTCTTCAATGAAGGCATGTTCATCGGTCACCCAGAATTCTAGCAATTTTGTGGTGGATGTTAACTTCTCAAATACCAAACATCGATCCTGCTGAATGGTAAGGTCTAGCCTTTACATACCTACCAGCATTTTGTTACGAAGCCGCCAGCTGAGTGATTTTTTCCAGCGGACTCAACTTCTTCTCAAACTGAGCAGCAATACCCGAACCTGCCGGTCAAAAAGGAAAGAACAACTAGGCATTCTGTCTGAATGTCTAGTCTTACTTTCCTTTTTGCGCCATATACTCATTGATTCAAGCCGTTGCTCACAATACTAGAATATGTAAGCGCGCATACGTACGTATATCATATGCCTCTGACCACCTGAACTTCAACGTCGGCAACGAATATATAGCGGTGCAAGGCAAGGGTGGGTGTCTCATACAATACGAGGAAAACTTTATTGATGTAGGCAATGATGGACTCGGGATCAAAATTCCAGTTCTGTCAATTGTCCTTCTGTCACTCGGAGTTCCCAAAGTATTATACACACGGAGAAACTCTTCAACAACCCAAATGCGACCTCGAAAAGCTCGAAAAAGGGTCAGGTCAGTCATTTTGTTGCGTCAGTAGCTGTGTACTTCTCTTTCATTCCTTCTTTGGACGTGCCACTCTGCCAGTTTCTAAAAGGGAATCCCGTCCACGCTCATGCTTCGGACATGAGAAGTGTGGCTCACTTTCTTTGGTTTCACTGAATCTTCCAACGCGTCATCGTGTACAATTATTTCTCGATCGTTGGGATCCTCTTTTTCTTCTTCTTCATCATAATTCAAAGGCTGCTCCTCGTACACAATTGGCAGTTCCTCTTGTCCTCGAACCCATGACTCATTCGAGTCGCTGGCTTCTTCAGACTGAGTGCCATTTCCGCCCGCTTTCGCATTGCGCGCCGCTTTCGCATTATCTGGGGGTAAGGGAATTTGAGAGGGAATTTCCGACTCTCTACTTTCACTGCCCTCAACTTCACGGCTCGTCTCTGAATCTGAGTAGCCATCAAAATGATCATTAAGATGTAAGAGGGCATCTGGAGACGATTTCATCCGCGCGTGGCGCGGTTTCCGGCGACTCTGGGGCTGTGATGCCTCAGCATCTGCAACAACTTCGTTCTTGGTTGGGCTCTTTGGTGGTTCCTCAAATCGAAGTGACTTTTGTGGCTGCACGGTCTCTTTTTGTGAATCCCCCGCAATGCTCTTCTCAAGACTCCCAAGCACCTTCTCGTGGAGCGACGTAAATGACCAGTTGACAACATTAGAAATACATGCAAACGCGCCTTGCACACCCAGAAAAAAATTGTTCTTCAACTTCTCGGGAGCGCTTAGGTCACCCTTGTTCACTGTTTGTAAGCACTGAAACGCGATGACCATTGAGTTGAGCAAATCAGGGACATCTTTCGCCCACGAGAATGCATGTTGATGATAAGATACAAGCGCTGCCACACGAGCGCTGGCAGATACTAAGACGGAAAACTTATCTTCTGGAACACAAGCAGAAGGCCCAAACCCAATACCAGCGTCATCCAACTGGCTTTCCACTTCGCTGCGAGAAGCTTCAAATTGGGTAAGCCATAGGTCTGCTCGCGATCTAACGGCCTCGAATACAGTTGAGTCAGCGCCAGTTGTGACGTCAACCCAATACCGGGAATTCAGTAAATCCTTTCTCGCTTTGATGTCCTGCGAAATGTGTGCCTTAATTGTCTCACACATTGCCCCGTAAAATTGGCCTTGTTCTTCCAACGAGCTGTCCCCATCATACCTCAGCTTGCTTTCTACTGTTCCAAGAGCATTCACAAGCACAACAATCATAGCCATCTCACCTTGGAGCCTGGCCACAGACCTTCTCCACGCATCCACCGAGCGTTCTACAGCTTTTGTAGGGTCAGGTCCTGCCGGGCCGGCAGTCGGCTGTCCGGGGACTCTGGATGGCGAGTTAGGCTTGGAAAACTTGTCAGCTGGGCTTGGAAGCACTTCCTCGTAAGCGCGAATATCAACGTAAATCTGTCTTAAAACCGCCAGCACTTTCCTCACGGCAATCTTGCGCCCCTGGATGCATCGTTCCGTTGCTTCACTGGTATTTTTCAATGAGCAGTTCAACTGCACAACAAGTTCCGCAAAGCGAGAATGCAAAACGCGATCGCCATACAAAACGAACCCAAGCAAAGTCGCCAGGGCCTTTCTCACTCCACTTTCGCTCCCAAAATCCTTTTGCAGAACTCCGTCGGCCACAATGTCTAGCGCGCGACTGCCGTGAAAAACGTTTTCAAAAGCCAATATGGTCGTACTGCTATGCGAGGCGGCCTCCTCTAAACTGCTTGCCCACGATGTGAGCAACAAAGCCAGAGTAACCTCATCGCCACAATCAACGGCCTTCTGTGCGGCACAGTCAAGATCCGCGCTCGCCTGTTCAATATCAGCTCCGGCATCGCCGCGAGAGGTACCGTTTGTGGATGAGTTCGCTGCGCCAGCATTGGAACCTGCCCCAAATGAGACACCGTTGGGATGGTTCCCAGACGAGCCGTTGGCAGTAATTGGACGCCTACGAGAGCGACGGGAGGACTGCGGTGTAGTGGCAGCAGAGTCGGTATGGTTGACGTCGTCGTCATCAAACGAGGGCGATTCTTGATATCTCTTGCCATTGGCGTCTCTCCTGGACTCCCTGGGACTTGCGTGACGACCGCGCGCAGAGCGGGAAGGATCGTGGCGTCTGCGATGTCTGGGACTTGCAGAGCGATCTGTTTGTTGCATTTCCAATTGATGCTGTTGGTGAGCGTGCTGTTGGTGAGCGTGCTGCTGGTGCGCGTGCTGCTGGGATGGCGGGTGTGGATGCTGAGCCGCAGGCGGAGTCGGGCCCCAGGGGTAGAAAGGTGGAGGAGGGGCGAAAGCATGATGGCTAGGACTCGGAGGAGGCCATTGGGCGGGGATTGAGTACACGGGGGGGTAATACTGAGGAGGGTAGAAGGGATGAGCACCGGGAAAGGAGGGGAAGGGAGGGGAAGTGGAGGAAGATGGAGGGGCGAAATGCGGGGCCGGGTAGAACGGGGAAGGCGGGGAGATGGCAGGGCGAGTGGTGGTGGAGGCGGGTTGTTGGCCGGTGGGCGGGAGTGGTGGGAGTGGATGGCGGGAGGGTGGAGTCGCGGGATCGCGGGTTGAATTTGGGGTTGAGGGGTCAGGCATTTCGGAAGGAGTATTGCAGTGAAAGGGGTTTCGGGTTGTGGGAATCTATCGTTGGACGTGACATGAACGCTTGAGGGGGAATGCGTCTGTGGTTCGGTGGAAGTTTGTGAGGGGGGAGCAGAGGGAAGGACACTACAAGAAGGGGAGTGAAGGTCCTAGGTGTAGGTAGGGGGACAGAGGGGAGGAGGTAGGACGGGGAATGGGGAAAAGGAGACGGACCTGTTCTGGTAAGAGGGCGTCGCGCGGTAGATGCAAGTGTCCGCGAAGACGACGAAGCGGCCATGGCAGTGAAGAAGTGGACTCGCTAATAGCATACCGGACGGGGCGAGCGTATGCGGGCACACAAGGACAGCACCGCACGCGCTTGTGTTTCGTATGAAGATGGATGTGAAAATCAGTTATTTTCATGTGGCAACATGCACACGTGGGTGACGTAGCGGCAGGCGCCACTGCGGACACGTGTTTCAGGTTTGCTGGGCGACCAGTGAGATTGCTCAGATTGTTGCCGTTCAGCTCAATGCATTCAATTTATCGCACTTACACTGTATTCTCTACGTTAGTTTCCTTTCCACTGTAAGATGGGCCGATTCCAATCGGATGTTGCCCAATTGTTGGCGGCATGCTTCTTCCTTTACACGTGCTTCGTCACAGATGGTGCTCACACAAGGGCCTGCTTGGAACTCTCCCGTCTCATCCTGTTCTGTTTCGATTGATGACAACAGGGCATACATGTACTAGTGATGCTGGTCAAGCGGGTCAAGCGGGTCAACGTGTGAACGTTGTGTCACTATTTCCGCTGTTTTTCTATTTTACCATGTAATTTCTCCAATTCACACCTGAAGTACGGTGCAGTGTGCCTTCCTGCCTCGAGAACATTGTGCCTCGATGGCCTTGTTGCTTTTCCAACCATTTCCAACCGCTTTTCTACCAAACTACATTTCTGTCCGAACACCAGGCAACGTCGCAACGCCTTTCCGTTGTCCCACTTCTTCCTCCTCGCACCCCCCAATCACAACCATTCTTGCAGTACAGTATTCACACATCTCTCTACATCATGTACTGTATACCTTTAAGATACTGTACACACCGCCTTATGGTGAATCCGCGCCCCCTTCTTGCTTCCAGAGACCACACCCTTCCAGAGACCACACCCTTTCCCCCCACACTTTTAAAAAAGGCCCAAACATCATCTTCTAAGAAACCTGCACCCTACCATATCCAGCACTACCGCAATATGCACGTGCTCAAGAAACATGACATGCTGAACCTACCATTCGTTATGATGGGTGCGATTTGAGCTACCTTGACTTCTTTATGACGAAAGATACCTAACCTCCATGATTCAGAACCATCTATTGCCCACATCATCTGGCAATTTCCAGAACGAAACTCATCCTTTTCTCTTTCTCGCTTTCGTTTTCAGTACTCATTCCTCACCCTCATGTTATGTTCCGGAGACTGCATCTTTACAACATGCTTTACGATGGTACACTTCCGTACAGTAAATCAACCCATGTCCTTTACCTCCATAAATGCACTCGTTTCTTTTGACGCCTCACAATGGATCGTCCACCGGAGACAATCGTCGCGTTTTACATGGGCGGTACATCCTCACCACGTAACATTTCCACTCTCTTCACCAACTCGCTTTCCTCGGTCTTCATGACATGTGACAACTCGCTTTCCTCGGTCTTCATGACATGTAGCGTCCCATCTTTTGATACTTGAGGGCCTGTATCAAAAGCACCTTTGGTCCGAGGGCTTGCAGACAAACTGAAACCGACTTTGCCATGCAATAGTTTGAATCATACCTAAACTTCGCATCCGATCAAATTTACAACAGCCGTAGCTTCTAAAGTTCAAGCTCTCCCTTCTTCCCTCGTCGAGATGAATCAATCTCAGTCATATCCGTCGGCATACAACTATTGCTTGTCCATGATTCCGAGAATGCTGCATTCGTACAATTCCTGCAACCACTTCACTTCCTCCAGTGCGTTCAAAGATGACTAACTGTTTTCCCCCCTCAGTTGTTACCGCAATACAAAATGCCCGGATGAAGCACCCTTTATAAAGAAATCAAAGCGCGAGTGGAAGTTTTCTGTCTCTCCAGACTTTCAGATCCCCGACACAGGTGAGTGAGAAAGAGCCCTCAAGGAGGCTTTTGATTTACCTTTGACTGCATTGTTTTGAGTCTTGGGTTCCAATATGCTGCACGTCATTAAGCGCACTCTAGCACGGGCGCAGGAACCAATCAAAGGTTCTCCCAACGCTGAATATTCAGAACTCAAACATCGTCTTCATTCCGTCAAGCTTGCCCTCGTATACACGTGCAAAATGCTATCCTCTGCAAATCGAGGCTGGGTTATTCAAATGCAAGAGCAACGAAACTTTTCTGAGCGCTTTTTCGAATCATATCCGACAACAGATGACGAGATACATCAGGTTGCTGCAGATTTTGCCAAAGGGTCACAAGTTTTGTACGATCAATTCACGAGGGCACCGGGAAATGAAGTCACTCAGTACAATACTATTCAAAAGCAAGTGGAAGCATACATTCGGGAGATAAACAGAGTAGAAGCGATGTATTCGAGACTCAATGAAACCAAGTCAGAGGCATCGAGGTACCAGTCCAAGCTCGATTTTATGGAACGCAGTCGTCGTGGGATTGATGAGCAGAAGAAGATACGGAATCTGCAAAAGATGGATCATCATAAAGTTGCATATAAGGCGTTGTTAGCAGACACAGTCAGAGCCCAGAAGGAGGTATACGCCAAACATTCGGTCGTTTTTAAAGCTGCGCTCACGTCGTACTGGTTGAGCCACGAGAAACATGTTACTCTCTTGGTGAAGAGTCTTGAAAATACTCAAGCGTTTGCGAAGAAGGCGGAGCCGGAGATGCTTACACTTGATATTGCGAACTGGACTCCTCCATCTATTGAGCAGGGGACAAAAACGGTAGGAGTCATTGACTACACACCCGTCGCCGAACATGAGCGAAATTCAAAGACTTCCTCCGAAACCGAGACGGCGAAGGATGCTGCAGTTCAACTGTCTTCACCTACAGCTGTTACCGTCGAATCTCCGACAGGAGTGGCCGAGGCGTTCACCGAACCTGCTCCCACGAAACGAAAAGAAATAACTCAGACATTTACGAATAGTTCTGAACCACGCACAGACATTGCATCTTGAAAGTCACTCTCGCAGTGGCAACTGCGATGTGAATAGCCTTCATTCGGAAAGGTCATTCGTACTTGCCTGCAGATTCAATTCTATCCGGATCGTGGACACCCGAATGATGGTGGTGGCTTCATGGAAAAGGCTTCGCCGTAGATTAGTTGTCAGAAAGTATGGGTAGCTCTTTTGTGTTTTTGACTATTTGTCAGGGGTCGATCCCTCGTAAAGAACGCACGTCTGACGAGAAACAATAATATCTCTCATACCAGCTGGACGAGGCGCGCTTTCTGAAACTAATGCGGCGGGGGATCCAGTATCAAACAACTTTCGCCAGCGAATGTTGCTATTTGTTGAATATGGAAGGGACGCAGAAATACCATGTTTGCCATTGTTAAATGCGAAAAATAATTCCGGCTCCTCCTCTGTTCCAGTGACAGAGAAAGCAATGTACCCAACGTTTGCTGATGAAGAACTGTGTTTGCGAGAGGAACGAGGCCGCCCACTTTCGTCCAGCCAGAGTAGATGAGAAAAGAAATCTGATCTTGTCAACACGTCACGTGATGATCGCAACTTCAACATTTCTCTTGTAAATAGTATAAGGCTCTCGAATGAATCGCATTGCTGCGGAGAGTCAGGAAGTGTTGCGGCAAATAGCTGAGGATTATTCCAAGAATTGCTGATCCCTTGTTTCGAAAAGCCAAATTCATCCCCTTGTGTTATCATTGGAACCCCTCGAGACACAGCGAGGGCAAACACAAAGTTTCTCAGTTGCTGAGCCCTTTTTGCACGAATTTGTGGATCTGGTGTTTCTCCTTCTGCCCCACAGTTAAACGAGACTTCAGCGTAGCCGTCCGTATTCTTCCGTTTGCGGTAGCTCACCACATCTGCCATACTAAAGCCGTCATGACAAGCAACAAAGTTCACTCCGTGATGCGCCCCCAAGGGTCTAGGTTTAGAGACTTGATTGGGGACCTTAAACAGGCTAGGAGATCCACGTAGGGCCTTGCAAAAAGGCTTTGAGGATCCCTTGTCCCCGCGGAAAAATCGTCGCACCGCGTCTCGCCACTCCACGTTCCATTCACAGAACCGGTCGCCTCTTGGGAAACCAGTTTTCGATCCTAGCAGCATGTTCCCAGACCCAATCTGATCACCTGCGTCCCACCCCTCGACGATCAGTTTAACATTCTTCAACACGGGATCGGAACAAATGTGGTCAATTACTTCGGGGCCAGTGATGGGGGCCCCACTTGGATCTCGACAGAGCACACCGGCCGCATCGATTCGAAACCCGTCAATTCTGTACTCCGTTACAAACCACCGGAGGCTATCTAAAACTAATTGAAGCATCATTGGGCTGTTTGGAGAGAGTGTGTTCCCACAGCCCGATATATTGCTATGCTGGAACGAATCGTTTTTCGATTTTCCAATGTAGTAAAACTGCTGGACATTCAAGAAGTGTAAGGAACAACTTGCATTGGCGGAATGATTGTAGACAACATCTAGGAAACATTCGATTCCGTTTTCATGTAACGCTTGGACCAATTCTTTCAGCTCGGCCGCTCCACCGCCCGCACGGCTGGCATATCGATTCATTGGTGAAAACCAGGACATGGGATTATACCCCCACCAGTTTCCAGGCCGTTCAACTGGAGCTTTTCGGGAAACTTCTTGATCCGATATCAGTTTATAATCACTGTTCATCGCTCCCATCTCTACTTCATTGAATTCAAAAACGGGCATCAGCTGGAGAGCTGTGATTCCTAACCATTTGAGGTATGGTATGGCAGTTTTGGCGCTTGCGAAAGTTCCATCATGGGAAAGAGCGCGGACATGCGCTTCGTAGATGATAAGATTTTCGTAGCCGATGCTCGGGGCACTGTCATTCCCCCAGTCGAAACGCCGAGAATTTTCCGGTGCGGTGAAGCGACAGAGAGTGAAAGGATATTTGATTTGAAGCCCGTTGAGGCGTGGGAAAGACTTCAAGAACGCCATTGCATTCTGAGCAGATTCTTGGCAGCCTCCCTCTCCCTTGAAGTTTTCTCCCTCGACAGTCATCCACTTCTCACATCCTGGCGATTCAAGCCAACGAGCGTAGGGGTCTGACAGGATCCGATTTGCAGCACCAGGTGTGGTGAGAGCGTACGTGACGTCAGGATTCAAGTCGTGCACAAGCACGTGCCACACATCTCCTGTCCGGTTCTTGAACGGAACAGAGGCGTAGGGATCGCGCACAGGACAGGAGGATGTCAGGGGAGGAAAAAGCAGAAGTGTGAGAGTTGGGACGCGCGCGAATACTGCAAAATTGACGTCCAGCAGCGGGAGTTGTGAAGCTCGATGGACGACGGATGGCCCCAGAGGATGGGCAATGCCACGAGAGAATTTCATCGGGAGGGCTAGTTTAAGTAGACATTGACTGTGTCAGGCCGAATGTGATGATGTCAAGCAGAACATTCGCTTGCGCAGCTCTTCATCGCCGCCTCGCAAGACGTTTTCCGCTATGTCTGGTTGCACTGCTGCCTTTAATGGAGCTGTCGATATGTGTTGACCTTGTCTCTATGATACAGCAACCTGCGAAAATATCCTGCCCTTTTTGACACGCTCTAACCTAGTCCCACTCTCAGAAACGAGGATAGAGATCTTCAGATCGGATTGAGATTCTAAAGCAAGCATCGTAAGACTCATACATGTCAGCACGCAACTTTCTAAGATTTAGATTTCACACACGTGTCAATCATTTTATGAATGAAAAGTTCAGCAGTGAATAGCGTAACGGAGCAAATAGTGTAACTTACACTAATATGTGTAGCTCTAAGGCGGTGGGCCCACACCGAAATCGTGTGCGTGACACTAAATGGGGTAACTGGGTGTAGTGTTCTTTATCAACTAGTGTCCAAAGATCTCGAACGTAAATAATGTCATGAACAATGAATTGTGTTTCTGCCCTGAGGCGCCTGGACATCGAATGATGCTGAAATGGGCCAAATCGCCGGCTCTTGGCATGAAGTTGTCGGCGGACATGTGGGGGTTGTCTACTGGCTACGAGTGCAGACACGCTCCGAGTGCAGATATGGGCCCCGAGGCTTGCCGAGGGCATCATATCGCAGCACGAGGCAGCGTAAAACCCCTCAGCCGGTAGACAAGGAGAGTGCTTAAAAGGATGTGTTTCGCGGCTTTTAGTTTTAGGAATGCCACATGACATGAATCCAAAAATCAAGTTATCCGGGACTCCAATTTATTTACGCCACAGATACCGTCCACACTTGTGTGGTGCGCATGACACTATTGCTTGTGCCAAAGGGCTCGAGAAGGGCCTGCGAATCATTGTCACGCACACACACTATTCAGGTCATCGGTGTAGTGTTCGAACCTATATCTTGACATCTTAGAGTTGAAGTAAACTAACCTTTGGATTGAGGCAATAAAAGCTGAGAAGATGTCTCCGCAACCTTACATGAATAGTGTTTGGCGAAACTTTGAAATACGTGACTGAGAAACAAAAACGGCAGAGAGAAATATCAAAACCTAGCAGCTTCTCGGCACTTGAAGCATTAATACTATACTCTTTTCCTGCCCAGAGCAAAAATAAAGGGACCCGAACCTCATAGCAGATGCAGTTTTCCAAGACGAGACATATTGATTTTGGGTTGGAAAGAACTTTTCTCGGCAGTCTAAAAAAACGAAAAGAACGTTCGTCCTGTTGACCAGCAGTTGCCCCCCACCATGGAATCTCATACAAGAATTGAGTAAGCGCGGGTGTAGTGACAAAGGAAGCGTGGAAAAACACCGTAATTCGACATATCTGGGAAGGAGAAAAAGCGAAGAACTGCGTCAAGCATGCAAGATAAGCGTGGCGGCGGAGATAGATCTGCAGTCCCAGCGCCTTCCGCGATATGGCTGTAACAACTTTACTCAAAGCTATTGCGAATCAAGACACCGCTATCAAACCTTTGTTTGATGTGGCGTGAAAAATGGCTGGCACCTGGTCTTTCAGCCATTGGTTCGATATCAAACGAAAATGCCATTTTCGACCTTTTCATGCAGTCTCTCGCAGCACTCACGGGGGTTGGGAATGCAATATCAGCGCACGCTAAGATGGGCGACTAGGCCGGAGCTAGAGACGGGGCAAGCCGCAACAAAGGGCTCGGTAAGGGGCACGGCCAACGGTTTCGAGTCACTCTTCTCTTAGACAGGTGTGAACTGCCACTGAGCAACCGCGAGGGCGTCTCAAACTTTATGCACAGCTTTGATAATCTTCCGCTTGATGATGTGCTTCGGGCTGACCGAGTTCTTGATGCGTTGCTTGGGGCCCTGTGGATGCCCCCAAAGCTTGCGGTTAAACTCACGCTACGCAACAAAACACGGCGAGGAAAACACGTGACGGTTAGCGCGGTTGCGTGGCGGGAAGCGGCTCGACGGGGACCGGGCGCGGCGCGGAGGTGCTGCGTACCTTGATAGCGTTTTTGAAACTCATGTCGCGGGGCGAGGGCGAGGGCGCGGGGGCGTGGAAGGGTGTTGGAATGCGGGTTACGCTTTGGGTCGGGGTAGACGACGTAGGAGGGGCGCAAGGAAGGAAGACGTGTGCTAAAGATTAGGGGTGCACTCCGGCGCCTCGTGTGCACTTATATGGAGCGAAGGCCCGACAGCAGACGTGGAGGGGCCGAGATGACGGAAGGAACATGCAATAATTAGGGCGCGGTGGCGACATTGAGGCTGGAAGAGACGGCCTCATTGGTCGCCTGCGATTGCATGCGACCGCCTGCGACCAATAGGGCCGGGTGAATTTGCAGAATCTTACACCGGCAACGCATGCATCATTCGCGCCGTGCGTTACAAGTTGTAAGCGTGGTGGATGGGCGTTGTGAAAGTCGTCTCCCTGGAGCCCTCTACAGTACTACTGTACTAGCTGATGCCATAGGGCGTGATCCCTCTTCTCCAGCGTGTCCTCCGTGGCAACGTGTTGACGGCCTCGATCATTAGCTTCACTGGTGTATACTTGTAAAGGGGGGTGCGCTACAGTGGGTTCGCGATACAGTGAACCCTCTCGATATGGATACGCTCGGTGGACGTAATCCGTATCCATTTGCGGAGGATATTCACATCCGGAGACCGTATCATAACGTATCATAACGGTGTCACGGTGCATCTCTCAGAATGTCTGTGCTTTACTTAAAAAATGTATCTAAATGCATTGAATGCGCTCTGCTTGCGTAGTTATAAGATGACCTGTGATGTTTACCCTATTTGCAAATTGGGCAGAGACCCAAGTTGCGACTGCGCGTTCGAGATATGGGCTGGTAACTGACGCGGAGCGCTTGAACTTTTTTGTAGAGATATCGGGACGAAAACCATACTTTCCGTTGATGATGCGGGACATGACAGCTTGAGCAGGAGGTTTAGAAAGGGAAAACTGTACTGAGGCCCACCTCGCAAGGGCGCTTTGTGACGTCTGCTCCTTGCTCTTTTTGCGCCGTTGGAACTCTGCACATATTTGTTGCTTTTGGGAGAGGTTAAGCTCAGAGCGCTTCATCGACGATTGTCGCTTGATGGGGGCAGATGGCTACGGTGCTGACAACACGCAATGTTTGCGATCAGAGGAGATTTATTGGGGGAGGACCAACAGGAGTATATGCTAGAAAGATGTTTTTGTCGAGAATGATGATAATTGCGAAGCCTCAGACGGGGATTGGAATTTATTGAGCAGATTGTGAACGGATTGATCAAGAATGAACGGTTATGGGGTAATTTGTGCCTTGGCCGCTCAAAAGTAACCATAAAATACGTTTTAAGTAGGAGGGGTCTGTATGATATGCTTATTTCACATTGAACCCGATATCCAATTGAGGAATATTCCACAGACATTGTTTTTTGGTAAAAATTTGTAATCTACGGAGTCCGTCGCTCGACTTTTTATCCGTTTACGGAGGATATCCATATGGAGAATGATCCTTATCGGGAGGGTTCACTGTAATTGCAACACGTCGGTGGCAGGGTTCTTGCTTTAATTATCGCGATTTTTCAATTATCAAATGGTATGATAAACTCGTCCCCTAGCCAATCATATGGCACCCTCCAAAACCCACTATTTTGTTTAAAAAAGGCATCTATCTTTGTTTGCCTCTGGCCCTGATACATGTCCTGACGGACCACAGCCTGCACTTTCCGAATTCCTCGTAAAAGGCCCTCATCAGCCTGCCCACTGGAGACACAAACGCGCTTAGCTAGCGCAAGTACACGCAGCTGCTATTTGGCGCAGGCAAGCAAATTGTCTTCTTCAGTATGTTCCTCACTGTCCTCTAAACCACTTCCATCCTCCAAGTCGACAACTGAATCGATAAGCGCCTGATCGTCCACGGTTTGAACACAATCATCCTCGCCCGACACATTGAGTAGTTCAACAATAGACATTCGCGTGCAAGTGGGCACTAATTCGGCAATTTGTCTCTTCAACATTTGCGCCTCATTGCACAGTAAATTACTAATGCTTACCCTCTCCGATGAATCCAATTCAGTACCATATATACCAGTGTGCCTCCAGCAGTTCTGTATTACTGAGGCAGGAAGCTCATTCCATATTTTCTTCATCCAACGCATAGCCGTTAGTATGTCAACCTTATAGATGTGGTTCACATTTTCATCAATTAAATCAATAGCTCGTTCCATCTGCAAGCGTCTATACCTCAGTTTGAATGAAGCGATAATTCCTGCGTCCAACGGTTGGAGCTTTGAGGTTGTATTGGATGGTAAAAAGATTACTTCAACGTGGGCTAAAGCAGGTAGGTTATCCTTAGTTCCGTGAGCACTGCAGTTATCAATTAACAGAGCAAATTTTCTCCCATTGGTCTTTCCAATGTAATAATCGAAGCGCTGCAACCAACCAAAGAACAACAAGCTTGTCATCCATGCTTTGTTGTTGGTAAGATAATCGAAACCAGGTTCTTGACTACTTTTCTTTTTAAACACCCTGGGTTTCCATGACCGCCCGATTATCATGAGCTCGAACTTCTCAGAGCCATCTGCATTGCAGCAAGGCATCACAGTGAATCGATCTTTAGCTTTCTTAAGACCTGGTAGTCTCTCGACAGCAACTGTCTTGTCGGGCGCCATTTTAAAAAACAACCCGGACTCGTCTGCATTAAAAATATTCTTTTCAGAATAATTCTTAAGCCTCTCCTTAATTATCAGCAAATCACGGATAACAGCACCCAAATCCGCATCCCCGCTCTCGCCATGCGATCGTAGCACGCGAAGCCCCCATCGCGACTTGAAATTACTGAGCCCACCAACAGAAAAATTTAGGTGTATTTTTTCATGATCCGGGAGCTTTTGATTGGCCAAGTCTTGACTTTTTCGGGCTTTTAGGCAGATTAAATCCCCATTAATGTTTACCCGTTTAACCTGTTGGTCAATAATCCAATTGAAGAGTGCCGTTTCCACAGCATGGATTTTGCCTTTCTTCTCTCCTGTTTTCTTCACTATTGTTCTTTTCGGGCGAGCCAATAGCGATGAGAACTGTTTTAAAATTCGAGACATTGTTGTCTTGCTTGGCATCTCACTGAGTCTGAATTTTTCTTTTGCCCAAACCCCCAATTCTTGTAGGGTCGGTTTTTTGCCCTCATCGTTTAGTGCGACATACTGCTCGCAATCTGCTTTTTCTGAATGAGGGAAAGTGTGGTATATTTCATGGTGATGCTTGGCAGTGAGGGAGAAATAGGGGAAACGGTTGGGAGTTGGGATCAAGGGAGAGAGTGTGGCCAAGACGGAACTGTGTTCGGGAGGTGTCCCTAAGTGAAGACTTCACATTTTAGTATTATTTTGTGCTAACAGGGATAGCTTGTTTAAGGAATATAGTTCATTTGAAGAAAACGGTTATCCTGTTCCTGTAACGGTAAATGATTTATAACGGGTGCCGTTTCATTTTTTCGTAGATTTGTCGTTATGTTTGGGTGTTCTGAGGGTGCGTTGAGGGGGCTGACCTTCTGGGATCGTTATTGAAACGTTTCAATTATCGGAATTGAAACAAGCTTATTTTTCAGATATTTTTGGGTGACCACGAAGGTCGTTCCTAAGATTCCGTTCAATTATCGCGCTGTTGCAATTATCGGGGGCAATTATCGCGAACCCACTGTAATTGTCGAACGATTTCGAAAAAACACACCCTCCCGTAGGTTTTCTACCTCCAATGCGAATGAATTTTACAGCAATAAAAAGCCCGCTTTGTCCTCTATGTTGAACCAGTATAAAACGGACCAGTTTTTGCACAGCTCTACAAAGCGATGCCAGCGCCAATGAAAAAAAGGAGAGCCTTTATGTTGCTAAAGATCGAACACAATCAGAAATTTGGCCCTAAAAACACCTCAATTTCTGATGTTTAGGACTTCGCCAGGTCGCAAATCAAGCAGTCAAAAATTCCCTCATCTCATCTCCCAGACGCTTCTAAGGACAACCGGAAGCTCGCGTTCTGGCACGTAGCTTAGCGGCTGCCCCTACACTCCACCATACTGCGCACGCCAGCCACAAACGGGGCTTCCGGCAAGCCTGCCAGCTTCGCACAGCACCTCATTCTGTCTGATCGAACTTGTTTCGAGAACAAAGCTACCAATGCCCGACTACGCGTGTCCTTCACTTGCTGCTTCTCTGCGCGGCGCGCCGCAGCTTCTATCTTTCGTAGTGTAGCCATGTGTTTCGCACCAAGTCCATCACGTGCGGAGCCGTCATGACACACCCGTGTGTCGTATCGACAAATCCATTTTGTAGAATGGTTACCGTATCACCCAGTATTCTTTGGCGAAGAACAGAACGTCGTTCTTCAAGCAATTGTACTAACTGCTCCACCGAGCACAGCTCTTGGCTCTGCGTATCATTCGTGGGACGTGGAACACCTAATAACCTCATAGCATCGCAGGGCCATACCCCACACCGTCTGAATGAAGCCATAATATTCGTCGAGTTGAATGAACTAATGTAGGCCTCTTGTAGCAGGGCACAAACGTCAAATATATCCCACGCTTGGTAGGTAGCTGTTTGGGCTGTGCCACTGACAATGCGGTTGAGGGAACCCTTAAATGCCGCAAACTGAACAACATCCAAAGGTTTGGTCTTTCCTGACGTATGAGCAGGAAGCGCATAAACTATTGTGGTACAATTCCACACCGCGACCCCCGGTGGGAGATGAGAACCGTCGAGACGGGCGGTTACTACTGTAGTAATCGTGCACGCACCCTCTGCGAGCACAGTAGTACCTCCACGGCGTACACGTGGCACAGCCGTTGGCGTCGGCCGTGGCCACGGGCACACGTGTGCGAGCCGTCCGGTAACTAATTAGCAATTAGTGGTTAATGGCACAAATTAGCCCATTTCGTACAGTAGCTGGTATACAGTATGTAACAGCTACTGTAGCAGGACAGGTGTCCTGGCGGCCCACTTAGGGGTTAAGACCAGGGGCACCTGCCCCGTTCCAGTAAACGGAGGCAGACTCGCCTCCCTTCCCTTTACGGCTTTTTGCTAACTCCGTCCGGTTTTACCTCTAAGTCTCAGGCTTCGAACCCGTGACCGGCCGTCCGGATCTAACACCACCGACCGGCTGCGCGTCACCGGCCACGTGAGCCTTCCCTCTTTTCGAGTCCTTCCGTACGGTTGGCGCTCGCGTGGGTTAACCAACGTCGCGCGCTCCCTTACCTCTAACCCCCCTCGTTCCGAGTGGTCGGGACGAAGGTAGTTATACCACAACTATCACATTTCCCTCCAGTAGTATATCTAGTACATGTATGGACAGGTGGGCACGGTACCCATCAAAAATGAGTAACACTTTGCCTGTTGATGTCCGTCGTTTCCAAAGGACGGACATCTATGTGATCACATAGTCTACAAACCGGACCGCCCAGTTCTTGAAGTTGACAGAATCTACCCCTCCAGTTTCTTTTCGTACCGCGACTACAGAACCTTGTGGCAAGAGGGATGCAGGTGTTTCTTCTATTTCCACTCCATCACGGACTACTATCCGGAACGGCAGGCGCGAACCTTTAAACACAAACAAAGGAGGTTCCGCCTCGCCATTTGCGCAAGTGACGGGCATCATGGTAATACGGTCCAGCTTCTTAAGAATAGGAAGTTTGCAATCGCGGCTGCCACTGCGCGACATATATCTTTTAGATGTAATTCCGGTGATATCCTTCTCAGGACTGACACCTGTCTCATCCAGGTTCAAAATGCGTGATGAATCTAGAGAATGCTTCGCGATGAGCTTCTCGAGATTAGCGAAATGTGAGGTGAGCACAGTACTGTTTACGGCTGAGAATCGCTTGGCGTCTTGACGGATAGGTTTTGCAAACTGTATGGAGTTGGAATGCCGAAGACGAAATGAGCGCAGAAAAGCAGGCCCAGGAGAGGAATTAGAGAATGGAAGAAGTAGACGGCGAGATGGTGGCATTCGGCCTACAATTATTTCAACCGCCTCACGCAAATACTGCTGACTCAGTGGGACACTGCGTTCGGCAAAATGGAGAAGAAAGTCAACTAGCAACTTCTCTGCTTCGTCTCGGAGTGCTCTTTGCCTTCCAGGCTTCTGAATCGGTGTGTTCGGATTGGTCACAATGGCATGAAGAGATGCAATGGGAATGAAGAACGTTGATGCGGCACGCCGATATGTCATCCCAGATTTCACTGCCTCAACAGCACCTGCAATTCTACGCGCTGGATATGCAGCAGTTGGTCTCCGAGCGTTGGCCCCCATGACGTAAGCCGCGTTCAGAAATGTGGGTTTGGGAATGGGGAGAAGGGATGTGCAGGCGTATACTTCAGATCCTCTTCTAGTAGTACAATTGCATGAATTTGCACTTTTTTGAGTTGAAAAGGCGCACTATACATGAATTGAGATGCGCGGTTTCGGTCGAGCGCGCCAAAAATGGACTTCATCCAGCCCTTTTTCTGTACACAGCATCTCAAGACATACGTCTCACTCGGGCTGAGCAAAAGAGTGTCAAAAGTATTTAAAATATATGTTCGGCAATTACCGAGCGTTCGACAATTAGCGCACCCCCCCTTTACCAGTTGCACACTGTCCCTTCGCAGCGTCTATTTTCCACCAACCGTCACTGAAAACCGCCACATTGTGCTCCTCCTCTCGCCCGCTGTAATGCGAGCGCACTCTTCGCCTCCCTTTCGTGGCTGTGATTGTTCGCTGCTCTGATCTGGCCCACGAATCGGCCTTCGACACCGCCCACCTCGCAGAGGAATTCGATCTCCGCTGTACGCTATGACTGTACTCCTCTTCATCGCCACCGAATTCTCAACCAGTCATCCTCCCTACCCAATCGCCCTATTACTTGCAACAAACTCTTTATCCTCAAGACCCTACCTCCGCTTACGTCTTCTCTTCCCACTCCTCCTCCTATTACACTTCTCCGCTCTCTCCCCCGCCCTCACTGCTTTCCAGAGTCACTCTGCCCTACCCTCCCAATCCCCGAAACCACATCCACAATGGCCCCTCTCCCCGCCTTCGTCCCTGGTGGTCTGGCCCTGGCCGCGCGCACCACTAGCGCGACGCTTCAGTCGCGCTCCACCTCGCGCCCCAATCTCCGCATCGTCCCCCGCGCAGTACGCCCCGCCCGCCTCTCCGTCTCCATGCAGGCCACCTCAGCCGACAGCGAGATGTATAGGCTGCTCAACCTCCCGGTCCCCTCCTCAGTCGTCCTCGCCGAGTACGTCTGGCTCGACGGTTTCTACAAGCTCCGCTCCAAGTCTCGCACCGTCGACCCAAATATCACAGACCCTGCCAACCTCCCGTCCTGGAACTACGATGGCTCCTCCACCAACCAGGCCCCCGGTGAGGACTCGGAGGTCATCCTCAAGCCCCGCGTCATCTACAAGGACCCCTTCCGTGGCGGCGACCACATCCTCGTTTTGTGCGATACATACACTCCAGATGGCGTGCCCTTGCCCACCAACACCCGCGCCTCTTGCGATAAGGTCATGGACAACGCGAAGAGCCTCGCCCCTTGGTTCGGCCTGGAACAGGAGTACTTTCTCATCAACCCCGAGACGGGCAGGCCGCTCGGCTTTCCAGTCGATAGCGAGCCTGCTCCCCAAGGGCCCTACTATTGCGGTATTGGCGCTGAGAACGCCTTTGGCCGTGAGATCGCTGACGCCGCCTGGCGCGCACAATTGTACGCGGGCTTGAGAGTCGGTGGCATTAACGCAGAGGTCGCCCCGGGGCAGTGGGAGTTCCAAGTCGGTCCGTGCGTGGGCATTGAGGAGGGTGATATGATGTGGATGGCGCGTTACATTTTGGAGCGCGTCGCCGAGATTGCGGGGCTCATCGTCAATTACGAACCGAAGCCTGTCAAGGGAGACTGGAACGGCTCTGGGTGCCATTCCAACTTTTCCACAAAGGGCATGCGTGAGGACGGCGGATACGAAAAAGAGATAATTCCCGCTATGGAGCGCTTGCGGTTCAAGCATATGGAGCACATCAACGCGTACGGTGAGGGCAACGATCAGCGTCTTACCGGTAAGCATGAGACGGCCCCGATTACCGAGTTCCGCTGGGGGGTTGGTGACCGTGGAGCTTCATGCCGTGTCGGGACAGGTATTGTAAAGGAAGGCAAGGGGTACTTCGAAGATCGTCGGCCTGCCGGAAATTGCGACCCCTATGTTGTCACAAAGCTACTTGTGAAGACAGGATGTAATGTCAACGAAGACTAATCGCTTAATTTTGGCAAGTGAGCACTACCTGTAGACGGACGTGTCTTGAGCACGAGCATGAGTTTTCGCATCACTCCTCAGCCTGACCGGCGAGAGCGGTATGTGTTGAAGGATTTAGTCTCATCACGAGGCTCATGAACCTTCTGAACACCAGAATAGAATTATTAGCCCGCTTTACAGGAACAGATAAAAGTCATTCCCCTATACATAACCTCGCATTACTCACACGGTATGTGCTCTGTACAAATTCAATCGACAACTGGCCTGCTGTCATGATCCAGACGAGCTCAAAATGGCTTCAGCCGCTCCTTGTAGTTGCATCAAGTCGTGGCATTCATTGACCTCTCGTCTGACAGCGCTCAGAATTGCTCCAAGTTTCCTATCCACCGCGATATTTTTGCCCAACTCCGCCCCGTAAACATCAAGAATGGCGTTCAGCAACTGAGCGAGCCGATTAGTGTACAGCGGCTTGCGGATATTTCGCTGTATCACGCCTAGAATTGAGTCAAGCGATGACTGCTTATGGCCAGCTAGCGCACTTGTCAGCACGCCTCTTGTTAGGAGTTCCTGAACCACACTGATCACCACGGAAGGGCTTCGCGTGGCTACTGCTTGGTCAATTGCGTCCCCATGGGCAAATTTCTGCAAACTCTTGTCATAATCTTTCAGCTCCGCTTTGCGATAATCTTTCATGACAAAGTCTTGGTCTTCAGTTGGCTTTGCACGTGTGCCTCGTTCAAAGTATCGACGAGACCCCGGTTTAGGGCCCTTCTCCTCCATTCGCATCTTTTCAAAACCCCTCCCGTACCCCTCAAATTCTCGTTGTCTGCGAGCCGTGCTCTGGGGAACCGAGGAGATGTGCTTACTAGATGTCTTTGTAGAGCGCACCTCCACAGTACCGTCCGCCATACCAGCGGCGTACTTCACTCCGTCGCTCGAAACAGCAAGAGAAAGAATCTCCGACGCAAAGCGCATGCGTCCCTTTGCCTGGAAAGTGTCTAAATCATGTACCTTGACAACACCATCCAAACCAGCTGTGGCGAGGCAGTGCCCCGCCACATCAGCCACTCCAGAGGTGACAGCTTTGGCGTGCGAACCCAGCCTGTGGATCATCTTGCCACCAGAGAAAAAGTCCCAAATTTTCACTTCCGGTCCGCCGATAGTGATGGCTCTGGCGCCTCCCGGAAGAATGAGGACGTCGTCCACCTGGTAACCGTGGTCGAGAGTGAACAGGCAGTTCGTGGAGCGCAAGTCGTACAGGCGGGCCTTACGATCCAGGGAGCCAACCATCCAGACGTGCTGGGAGGCCGGAGAGTGGGCCTGGCATCGAACATAATCATTTGCGTCTTTCAGGGAGAGAAGCAACCGGCTTGTGGCCAAGTCCCATGCCTTGACGACAGAGTCATCCGACCCGGTCATGACGCGACGCCCGTCCGAGCTAAACATCGCGGATCGAACAGGGCTGCAGAACACAAAATGCACAAAATGAGTATGGTCAATTCGAGTCAGTAAACGTGGAAAACTGCAGCGCACGGTCATGACGGTCTTTCGGCGTGTACGCGTTTGATCAGATAGGAGCGAAAAGACTAAATCTGTATTTTTCTCATCAAGGGCTAGTAGTCCTCAGAGTGAACTATGTGACAAATCTTCACTTCAAACGCACACGGCCAAAAATATAAAGGGATACTTACCCTTTGTGACCTTTGAACTCTCGAAGGACAGCGCGACTCCCAAGATCGAAAACTCTTGCACCCCCGCCACTATCCCCGGCGACGAGCAGCTTGCCATCAGGCTTATAGCCGGGGCTGTAGGCGGTGTCCCTGAACCTGGCAAGCGAGCGCAGGCGATTCCCAGCTCGGGAGCCAATGAGCTCGACGGAGAAGCCGGATGAAGCGGCGACATCATAAGGAGCGACGGGAGAAAAGGTGACATGCGTAACCGGGGAAAGCAAGTGGTGGCTGGCGACCAAGCCGACAGAACTCCACAACGAGGCCTCTTGGTGCAAGCGAAAGGGGGTGCTGAGCGAGCCGGGACGCGGGACGAGAAGGGGGGCGAATGCTTCGCCCATGCTGAGGTTGAGGTGATGCGGTAGTGGATGTGGCTCACATCCCGGAGGCCCGGACGGAAAGGCGCAGGCGGAGAGGATGAGGACGTGCCCCGGCCAGCGATCAAAGGATTGTTCGTCGCTGGCGCTGGCTTCTGGGTTTTAAATATTTCCAAAATGGCACTTGTGAGTCAAGTGGTGGATCAGTGCTGGTTCTTACGCCGCCGCCGTCGGACAATCTTTCGAATCACACGTGTGCAATGTGTGATCGATGCTCGAAAGTACAGTCTAGAGGATCCAGTTTCGAAATCAACAACCGGCTTCTCTAGCTCAAACTTTTACGTGATCCGGTTTCGAAACAACAAAATGGCGTTCTACGGATCAGCACGAGCAAAACGTGGACTGTACACGTACAGTCTCGGTCCTGGCATGCACGGCACATACCGTAGCGGCAATTTCGCGCCAGCGTTTGGCGGGAAAATGGAGGGCAAACCCATCCTAGGCGTGGATTTGCACCAACTACATCTCTTCTCTCAACAACTACACATCCAACTTTTCCGCAGCTTCAACTCTGAGTCCCACCTCCGTTACAGTCAGGCCACTTCACCAAAATGAGTCCCGAATCTGAGCTCTCTCGCAATACTATCAAGCATATCTACGTCACTTCAGACACATCTTCGAATCCCGTAGTACAAATCTGCGAGCTCAAGCGCATCTCGCAGGCGAACGCCAACGCCAGCGCCCCACCTCGCTACCGTTTGGCCGTATCTGATGGCGTTCATTTCCAGCAAGCCATGCTGGCCACCCAGCTCAACTCCCTCATCGATGATGGGAAGATCTCCCTCTTCTGTCTCGTCCGCCTCAATGACTTCATCTGCAACAGCCTCCTCAACAAGCGCATCCTCATTATCCTCAACCTTGACATCGTTGCCCCCCCGCAAGCCAAGATTGGAAACCCTATCGGGATTGACGCCGCTATGAGCGGCGCTGCGCCTCCACAGCAGACAATCGGTGGTCATGCCAATGAGAACGCAAGGCCCAACGCTATGGTCGATGTCAACCCGACGACGGGGCAGCCGAAACCAATGGGGGGCGGCTCTGGGTTTGGCGCGGGTGCTAATAGCAGCTGGCATGCTTCCGCTGGGAATGGAAACCCCTACGCTGGCACGGGCAACAGCGGTATCATGACCAAGATCAGTTCCAACCCGGCGGGTATTTACCGCCCCATCCAGAGCATCAACCCTTACCAGAACGGTTGGACCATTCGTGGACGTTGTACGTATAAGAGCGACCTTCGGAAGTTTCAGAATCACCGCGGCGACGGCCAGGTGATCAGCTTTGAGCTCACAGACGAGTCGGGCTCCATTCGTGTTACGGGGTTCACCCAGCATGCTCCAATTATCGAGCAGACTGTTCACATCAGTCATATTTATAAGGTGTCACGGGGATCCCTCAAGCAGGCAAATGAGAAATACAACCGCAGCACGTCGAATTTTGAGATGACGCTGGACAAGAACTCTGTCTTGGAGGAAGTGGACGATGACGGCTCTTTCATGCAGGTGAAGTATAACTTTACAAAAATTGCAGAATTGGGTAACATTGAAGTGAAGGGAGAGTGTGACGTTGTCGGGGTGGTTACGGCCATTGGACCTTTGGGTGAAATCATCATCCGCAGCACTGGGGAACCGTGCAACAAGCGGTCAATTCACATCACGGATGACTCAAATTCCTCCGTTGAGCTGACACTATGGAGAAAGCAGGCAGAATCGTTTCTCACAGAGACTGACCTGGATCGCCACCCGATCATTGTCATCCGTAAGGCTTCGCGCGGGGACTTCGGCGGCGTTTGTTTGAATGTCAATCGCTCCACCACCATGGAATTAGATCCTGTCAACGTGACAGAGGCAAATAAGCTGCGACACTGGTATGACTCGGGCGGTTTCAATGCTGCTGCTGTGCAGTCTGTGACTAGTGGTCCAGGGGGTGGCGGCAAGATAACCGGACCCCGGAAGTCTCTTGAGGTCGCGAAGATTGAAGACGTACAGCCTGCATTCACAGGGGGCTCTGGGTCTACAGGTGCTACCGCTACTTTCGTCACCAGAGCGTATGTCGGATTTGTTAACACGAAGAACGACCTTTACTATCCTGGTGACCCAGAAACCAAGAAGAAATTGACGCGAAGCGGCCCTGACATGTGGTCGAGCGAAAGCAGCGGTCGAACATTCTCTGACGACGAAGTTGTATGGCGATACATCATGAGTATGAAAATCATGGACCATTCGTCATCCACATGGGTCAGCGGGTTTGATGAGGTGGGTATGACAATGTTCGGAAAGTCTGCTCAAGAATTCCGTGCGCTGAAGGAAAATGATCCTACCTTAGCTGATCAGATCATTGAGGATGTCACATTCCGTCCGATGCTGATGAAGGTCACTGTGAAGGAGCGGGTCTGGAGAGACGAGCAGCAGATCCGGTACACGATTTCTCGTGCGGAACCATTGAATTTTGCACAAGAAGGTCGTGTATTGATGAATGAAATTTCCAGCTACGGAGTAATGTAATAGTGCCAGTGAAGAGATTTGGTTGTAAAGTGTTCTAGTATGGATTTCAACGGTGCGGAGTCGTACATTTAGCCGGTGCCAATAAGATATGTAGAGCTTGTACAAATCAGCTTCTAAGGGGTTGCGGGGCAGGAATCCTTCTGTCTATAATGTTCGCTAATGTACACTCGGTGGCGTTCTCCCCACAGCATGCTTGTTGCAGCTTCCGGAAAAACGTTCGGTAGAGTGATTCGAGCACATTCTCATCGCGACAAAACGATAGTTGTAGTCCTTTCAAGGCAATACTGGAAACTCGCTCCCTTGACAGTGCGACGCATTCAGAAAGGCGCGCGTATTCCTCGGACAAAGTTGTATCAAGAATACCCGGGTCATCCGTGCATAGCGAAAACGGGTGCCGCGAACCAAGCAATTTCGTAACTACAGGGTGCTCCTGTAGGCTTGTCACGGATTCGGTCATGAGATTCGAACTTATACACACTTCCACCCCAATGTTTCGTTCCTCTGTTATCATCCGTGTTGCGACCGCGTCGGAGAGGACAACCGCATGGCCAAGGCGTGATGGCCGAAAATCAAGCATTGCGTTAGCTTCCTTGTCGTCTAACACTTCCCCAAAGTGAAGGGATATCGGGAGATGCAATCGGCGCCGGGAATCTTCGAAAATGGGTTTAAAATCATCCCAGGACCCTCTGTGCGGGTTGCCACTTAACTCTAGACCTACAATGAGGTCGGCCCTGGTTGTCCCGGCAATTTCCTTCATTATGGCCTCCGTGACTTTCATTATCTCTCTTGCATTTTCTACCGGCAGATGGCGCGATATTGAAACCAGGACCCGGCACAAGAGCCCATTTGGATGTTCCTTGTGATATGAGTCAACGGCTTCCAGAACAGTTGAAATATATAGTTGCGGGGTGAATGCATCTGATGAGCGCGGCGTCGTCCTCAGCTCTACATAAATCACGTTGTCAGCGGCAAAATCATCCAGGACGCTAAACACCACTTCTCTTAGAACCGCCGGAGAGTTGATAACCTCATGAATGATTGGAAAGAGCTCAAAACATTCCTTCAGATTCAAAGAGGTGCGAGGAGAAAAAAGCGAGGTTGCCTTCGCCCGGAGCTTTTCATTTTCTGGCCTTCTCAGGATTTCGCGGATTTTCTCTTTGCTAATGCAACCGCTAAGATGAGCATGTAATTCTGACTTCGGCAGAGATTTACACCATGACCTGGTCGCAGCAGTCGATTTGCAAAGAGCCTCTTCCATGACGAAGGCAACAAGCACATCGGGTACGGAGAGGAAAGCTGCAGAAGTTAGGGACGATTATTTTTTGGAAATTTTTCTCGCTTTTCTGTTGTACAACCGAACAGAATATTCACACATAGGCCACTTTCGCCACATCTACTAGTACACCTCCTGGCTGTGTAAGCTGGTCACAACAGTCGACAGGAGAAAGTGTTTGCCATGGGTTGCAATATCTGCTGGTGAAAAAGGCCGAGAAGATTGGAGGCTCGGAGTACATGTGCAACTACTAGATTCTGATGACCTTCTCAATGTCCCTATCGACCGGCTAGAGATATGCCTCTGTGTCGCTCGATTTGCACGCTCTTGACATGTCTTTGCGTCTCCGCAAGTTGTAGTCCTCGGTAAAGTGATATGAAAAAATCGGTCATTAGTAGTAGGAGCGAGAGAGTGAAACAAGGAGTTACATCTGTACAGAACCTTGGCGAATTAGTTAATCAGGGCTTCCTGGTAAGCGAATAGCATGCTTTCTTTTTCCTCTGAGATGCAAAAATTCGTGCTCTCGAAACTTCACTTGCTCTTTGAACGTCCGAAATGAACCCCGGCTAGCAACACTTTCATCCGACCTGACAGCCGTACGGCACATTCTGTGAATGAACTCCAATTGCTTCCCAGGAGCGTTGGTGTCTTGGACAAGAGCAGAATATCCACTAAGGCTAGTTTGGCACATTCCACATCGCGTGTTACACAATCTTGGTCCCGAGGTAAACTGAATATTCGGTGTGAGCCGAATTTTTTTTCCAGTGCCGTAATAGCCTCCCTTGTGTCTGCGGCTACATAAAACTTGTATCGTAAATTCAACCTGAGGATCTTATCCTCGAACGTCTTCAGTCCAGTCAGTCTTCTCCAATGATCTGTTGTCCGAGACCCATTTCCATAAAATTCCTCGCTCACTCCCTTGATATCCTTGTCGATGGTTCGGGATCGAATGTGTACCCCTACCATGCCTTTGATGTTGATAAATGAGGGGTCATGTACAAGATGCATAATTTCTGCTGTTGGAATCAATTGCTCTCTCATAACTCGCCAGTACGAAGATGTGGTCGAAATGATCCTGGGTGCAAAGCTTGACCTCACAACGTAGGCAGTCTTCGCGTAAACATGACGTCCAGTCCGGGGGTTCACAAGTTGCTTCAGTGGGTTGTGAATATGCTTCCCCTGAAATCTCATGAAGTTGTAAAAGTCCACCGTACGCATCGCGTAATCTTTTGTATTCGAATCTCCGGGCGGCCAGTTCATATTCAACTTATCGATCGTGATAAGATCATTAGCAAAGAGATCAGAGAAGCGACAATTCAGATGCACGTCTGGTTCCCATATCAACACGAGCACACGTCCAGTCACTCTCGCCACCGCCATGGCAGAACCTAATGCTCGAAGGCGATTACCTAACCCGTATTGTGCGTGGATGAAAAATGCTCTCTTAGAGGTCGATTGACTGAGACCCCGAAGCAGTTTTCTCTGTGAATCATCCGACATACCTTCGATAAAGACCAGAGGGACACCGTAGACACGATTGAGTACGTCCGCCACTTCGTCTATATCAAGATTGGATAAGGTCCATTCTTTGACAAAATTGTACCACGCCGCCTGAATTGTCGAGCCAGGTGTCAAGAAATTGGGCATGTTCATGACACCGGGAGAAATAGATGCATAGCGACCCTCCACTTTCTGCTGAGACCGATAGAAGATATGCCTCGTCGCCAAGGCGGCCACACTATCCAGGGGATGGCCACCGCTTCCAGTCTTGGTGTAGTAGTTGATCTGAAATTCGCTCCAGTTGGTGAGGTTTGGACTGAGATGAAGCGAATCAACACTTGTAAGCATGATGTTCTTCTTCTCAGCGGCGTGCAGTGCGGAGATAGCATTTTCTCCAAAGGCTTCTCCCCCACGACTGGTATCCCATAAAATGAGCAAAAAGCGCCCTGTGTTCATTGAGTAGGTAATTGCTGAGGCGATGGCGGCAAGACGTCCCGCTGCTGATGAGCCGACGACGTGAAGAATGAAAAGCCTTAGTGGCACTGCACGCCGTTTGTTCTGGGCGTTCTGTACTCTTGTCAGGAGCGCGTATCGATGTGAAATGGGGATCTTTCGAGAAAGGCTGGGCGGAAAATTGAACGAGCGGACCAAGGCGTTTTCTACAAATTTCTCATTGCTTGTATCCCCCAGGCTTATCCTGAGCTTATCTGCTGTGAATGGAGAGACGTAATTGCGAGTTTGAGAGACAAGTGTCGACGACTGCCTTCCAGTTGCGTAGTATGCCGGGCTGCTGTGGTAGGCGAGAAAGGCAGTGAGACCCGTAAGAATTAAGGACAGGAGGGAGCCTAATAAAAGTGTGACAAACGGGGGGAGATGCGGGCTTCCATGCTTGCGTACGTTGAATAAAACGCGAAACCTCAGTGCGAGATAACGTTGGATGGAATTCATGAGAAGGACGAGGGCACGAGGAATTGCGAAAGACGGAGGGCGACGACGGAGATAATGTTTTCGGCGAGGCGAGGCGTTGTTAAGTAACTTATCAGATGAATCGGGAATGTTTGCGTCGAGGGCTGTCGGAGAGTGCGACATGTCAATACTGGAGTTGAGGGTGCTTGGCTGCTTCTCGGGGCCCATGCCCGGATGGTTGCACTGCCGCAGCGCACCGGACTTGCGCTGCGGTGATCAATGGACGTGGCAACTCAATGATGACGTTGTGATGGTGCGGAGCAAGGCCGCAGGCTTGGCGTCGGGGCGGTCTTGGCGGTAAGGTGGTCTGGTCGTCTTGGAAGACAACGGGGAGACTGCAAGCAATGCAGATAACAAATGAATGTCATTTCTGCGCATCATACCGCACATACTGTACGAAGTTTTTATTTTTATCTTTCTACACCCTTCTCTCTACTGTACTAACTTAGTACAGTACTACTAAGCTAGGAGTAGACATTGCTGTCATAAGAGGGACCGAACAATCACTTTGCCGTAACTGTGAACACTTCAAAGGAAGCAGAGAACGTGTACCAAACTTGTTGGCACGAGCTTACCCTCCCTACCCGTTAACAAAAAAAAAAAAAAACAGTCTCGCATGTAGCCTTTTGTTTGCGCTTCTCATCTTTAGTTTCAAGTCCCAATTCACTTATCTGACTCTTTAACTATTCACACGGCAACCATTTCGAATGTCTGAAGGAGATCTCTGTTCTCAATATGAACAAAAGTCTCAAATTTGCCACGGAAGAGGCTTCTCATCGTTAAACTTGCTGTCGAAGCTTGACTTTCGTTTGCTCTTACTGCCCTTGCTGCTCTTGCTGCTCGCGTTCTTCATAGCCTCAAAAGGTTCATCGCTTTCACTCGCTTCCTCAACTTCCCCTCCCGACAACAAACCCAACCCTCGATTCGACAGCCTTCGTACAACACTGCTTCCTGCAATTTTCTCGTGCGGGTTCGAGTTCATGAATCTCTTCAACTCAAAGAACGGCGTGCCCGGTTGCAACCGCTCCGGCGCCAACGTCGACACGACCTTGACGAGCGCCATAATTCCCGAAGTCGCCATGTCCATCTTTCCGTCCAGCTGCTCAAATCGTATTCTAAAATCATCCATGCGGTCCTTTACGCACACTACCTCCTTGTGAACGCCATTCACATCCACCTTGACACCCCCAATCTCGTCCTCGATCTTCCCCGATAGCGAGTCATGCATTTCGTCTACGTGGCCTTCCATCATCCGCAGCTTCTCATCCAACTCCCTTCGCACCGCGCGCACGGCCCCACTCACCGTCGATATCCCTTTTTGCATGGCCCCCACGGTCCCTGCAAACGTCCGCTGGCTCACCCAGGCCAAGTCCCGCAACGACACATTCCTCTTCACCGCGACGTAGTATGCTACCCCGCCAACACTCACTGCCACCACGGCCCAGCCAAGCAAATTCAGTATGTCCGATATCGTCGCTAAAGAGCCCTTGAGCGGACCTGACGGCCCCACCAAGACGACGGGGTGGTCTCGCGTGCGAGACATTTCACGTGCCAGAACGTCCATCTGCGCACTGAGCGCATCAATGTTTGAAGTCGAATTAGAAGCTGCCGATTCAGACCCTGCTGACGTGTTTTTGTTCTCTTCGGTTTGGTGTTGCAAAAGAAGTCGGGCGGCTACCGATCGCGCGTGGTCCATGTTGTTGTACAAATACGTGCCACCGTAACTCGCGCCGAAGAGCATCGCGAGCGTGCGCATGCCCAGCGCGGCCATTTCTGGAAATTTGTGAGCGTGAAGCAGATATTAGCGATTAGGTTGCTTGCATCGCCATGCAAGGGGGGTGGGGCGGTTGAGACGACTTGATTGTCAAGCACGCAATGCAAGGTCCGAGCTTAACGGTTAAGAGCGGTGAGAGAGGACTATTTCCTTGCCCCTGGTTCGTCTGTGTGTAACCATGGCGTAAACACTTGTCTCGCGTTAATTACAAGTAATTTCAGACACAATGTATTAATTTCCTTCTCTCATCCAAATACATTTTTGTTAAAAAGTTCACTTTCACATTCCGTGCTCACAACAAGCATCGCCTTTTCCCGTGCGAACTCCAGGCGCCTTCACCATCACGACTGTGCACCGGCATTCCCCGCCTCCATGGTCGGGAAGAAACCGATACCGTCCGTGACAAAAGAGGCGCTAGCTTCTCTCAATGAGGCAGAGCGGAAGATCCTCTCCTCTCTCAAGTCCGCTGCGGGCGCGTTTCGCTCTCTCTCCAGTCCCGCCACCACCGGCTTCAACGCCAATGCGGAAACTTTCGTCTCTGACCTATACGCTGCCCAGACGCTTATCCGCAGCAGAATTTCCACTACGGGTGCAGACCGGAGCTTCGAGGACAACTCCGTTCGAAGACTTGTCGAGGCCGATCTATCCTTGCAGCGCACGACACATGTTCATCGCGCCCTCGTCAACATTCTCGTCGAGCTCGACGAAATGCCAAATCCGCCGGGAAGTCTCTCCGCAGCCGCGTCGCCTAATTGGGTGCCCTCGCCCATCGCCAGCACGCCCAGAGAACTCGGTGCCATGGCTGGCGCAGCACCGAGCCCGTCGCCGGCGGGCGCCCCGATTACGATTGCAGTGCCTAGCCCGGACGCCGCTGGATTGGGCTTACCATTGTCAGCTGCCGTCACGGCTTTGAATGGAAGCGCACCGCCTGGGCCGGTCGAAGCCGAGGCGGACCAGGCGGCGGAACCGGCTCCTCAACCGGAGGGGGACGGTGGCGACCGAATGGAAATGTAGGCGCAAAATTGTGATCATATCGCGGGGAATCGGGTCGACGCAGTTGTGGTTCATGGATAAGTAACTGCCAAAGCTGCTGGCACAACTGCATGTTGAACTCGCTTTAAGCGCAGACTCGCTTTCGTCGAGGAGCTTTTGGGATACTGGACGATATGCAATGTCCAAAGTTTGGGCTGCGCGACTGCGCTGGAACACATTTTTTTTCTAGAAACCCCGCTGTTTATTGCGAGGAGCGTCTAAAATTGTCTCAACATTCTCTAATCCGGTGAGAGGCATCTTGTACATACGTGCTCAAGCAAACATCCTCACAACAGGTCAATAAACATCGAAAATGGAAGGCGGCGAATTCTCCAAAAGCGCTTTCTTATAAGGTTCATTGTCAGAGGTAGGTGGCGGTGTGGCACTCGTAAGAATCACGTTTCCTTGGTCATCAAGTTCGATATCATCGAGGTCACTGATGTCTTCGTCATCCGACGCCGTAATTGTTTTGGAATGGTCACTTCCTGTCGAATTCTTGCATGTTGTGATACCCGAGCGCACATCAGCAGCTTCCTGCGAAAGGCTGGTGCGTTCGTGGGCACCGTCTTTGCCCGCATCATTCGATGTCTCCTTCATGACGACGTCTTCCACAGTTGCCTGAGCTTCTGCAGAACTGGACGCTGTGTTATCGCCTTTGACTTGTGACGCCAACATATCAGTCCTGTCTTCAGGAATACTGAAGACATTCTCTATCCGTTTCCTATCTTCCTCCTCTGCCAGAGCAAGGTTTGCGACAAAGTCATAAACTTTTTTCTTCCAACTTGTCACCTGGCCAGCAAACGACCTCTTCGAGCATTTCTGCTTGGCTATCGGTGTCATTGGGTCCCCGCGCACACGCTGCTCTCTGGGCTTCACGGCCGCAAAGCGATCATACGCAATTGTGTTCTTGCCGTAGTCAATCTGCTTCTGCCTTTGCGACACGCGGTGTGCGTCTTCTTCAGTACCGTTTGCAAGAGCAAGACCTTCAACTACTGTGCTCCATGAGCTACGAAGCCTCTTGGGTGGCCGCTGTGATGGGGAAAGTGAGCCACAGGGGCTTCGGCTCCTTTTGTCACGAGATGGTGGTGATGGCATACTGACAAAGTGCTTGGGAAAGGATTGGTTGCAAGGCGAATTTTCGTAACTGAGTTTGTTTCGATGAAACGATATGGTGGATTAGGAGTTTGAGGTGGGAACGGGAGCTTCCTTGGGACACGCCTGCCAGAAGTACGGAGCTTAACTACTGAAGTGACGTGACACACCTACTCCACAGACAGGCCCGAAAAGTGGAGGGAAACGACGTTCGAAAATAAGTGATTTAAGTTGATTTTGGGGAAATTGGCGGGAAAAGGCTACTCCACAATTCCATTCCCCCTTCTTACCCTCCTCGTGTATAGCGACGGACTACTTAATCAGCTACTACTAGCATGCGGCCCTCACTGAGTCAGAGCAAATTAACAGCGCACGCTTGCTCGACCCCTCCAAAGACCGCGTCCCTCCAAGCATGCTGTATATACAAGTCTGCATGATCACGCGAGGCGCGCGCCTCTTCGAATAACCTGATGAGTTCCCAAACGCCCTATGAGTGTCTAATGTTTCGGTCAAATACATTATCCGCGATAGATATAAAGCTACGCCCTCTTGGACCCATCTCGCTCGCTGCCCTGGACAAACTTGGTGATGAGACCTGAACATCGTTTTTCAAGAGAGTCATTCGTAGCAGCATCGCTTCGGCATCTTCAAACGCCTCTTGCCCCTTCTGAAGCGACGACGTAATCGCTTCCAATCTCGCGTTCGACTTCTTCGCATGCAATGCGTTATTTTGCTTGTCTATCCTTGCGTTTATTGCTCCAATGTGAATCAATTCCAGTAGTTCATTCTCAAGTTCCTTGGCGGTCGTCCCAAAGATCGCTTGCATGCGCCCGAGATCTGCGGATATGAACGGAGATACGTATTGCACAATGGCTTTGCGTTGAATGAGACGGAACAAAGTATCCACATGACCCTCACGACCTAAGTGCATGTCCAGCATCAGCTCTGGGCGGATAGTGGCCATCGTGGTGAGACACCGCGTGTAACGTGAGTGATAAAAGTCGTAGATAATTTCGCGGACATCTGGGACGAGTTCGAGTAGATTGCGAAACTCCGGTTTTTCAATGACCTGTTTCGTGAGGGCCGAGCGATCCAACGTCGCAAGAGCGCACAAACCCCCATAAATGGCAACGTCTTCAAGCGACATAATATCCCCAAACTCTCTCTGCAAGTTGGAAATCTTCTCCTCGCTTGCATCACCGTTGGTTGTCAAGAAGCGCTGCGATGCGGCCGCATAGTTTCCCCGTACGAGAGAGGCTAAACCCGCGCAGGCTCGCATCTTCGCCAGCTCCGTGCAGTCTTTGTCAACGTCTGGTATGTTGGCAGCCATCATGTAGTGATTTTCAATGGGCGCAAAGTCACCGGCTTCAATGCTCACGGTGATAACTTTCATGCACATTTGCAAGTTGTGCAGCGCATGGCCACAATAATCCCTCGTTTTCGTATAGTCACCCCTTGCCTGTTTTAGTTTACCTCTCTTGTGAAAGAAATCTCCCAAGTCATTGTGTCCAGTGCGAATTACTTCCTTGTTTGCTTGTTGTTTGTTTTCTTCAAGCTCGTGCTTCAATAATTCCAACTGTTTGCCTGCCCACTGGTTTTTTCTCATGATCCATTCCTCATCTAGAGTGAAATCTTCCCCTAAGGCACCGTCAGCTTGTTTGAATATCTCCTTGTAGAGAAAAGTGTCGTAACCTTTCTTCGCTTCAGATACAGCCAGTCGAAGAGCATCGACACGAAGATCCGAATTGCGGTCCGCGATAAAGCGAAGCCTCTGAATCTTTCCCCGCGCTCGATACCGCGCTGCATACCCATCTAAGTCAAAGGAGGCGAGAGGCGCGTTCATCGCACTGCTTTGAAGCTGCGCTATGAGGCGAACTTCACCGACCGGTTTTTGAAAACAAACGCTAGAGGTGCTCGTTTTCTTCTTTTCAGAAGGTGCAAAAAGGTACGCAAAATTGCCTCACTTTTTCCCAGCAATCAGTGGGAAACTGGAATCAGAATTATCTCAGCAAAAGTGACACGTGTACACTGTGGATTTTCAGAAAAGTGCCCACCAATAGCACTGAGAGACACTCACGATTGTGTTCTTTGTGTTCTACACCAGTTAACCTTAATTAGTCCGGCCTGCACTATTTATAGGGTCCCAGCTGCACGTGGTTAACATAAATAAGCGGAGGCCGCACTGTTTCTGTACCCGCACTATTTAGGTACCCACTCATATTAGTGCAGGCCGCACTGAGTCGATTTGGAAAAATTAGAAAACCAAAAACCGCCCCCCTCTATGTTAAGAAAAACGCTCTGCCGCCCCCCTAACGACAAAATGACCCAAATAATAATAATAAAGCTGGCTAGAATAATATCACTGGTTAAGAATTACAGTCCAGTACGCGATTTAGTGCTAGGGCATGCCACAACGCAAATTGTGGCACTATTGGGGGGGTCGCACTATGACAAGAAGCTTTCATGAAGGGCTTAAAGGCGTCCGTCCCATTGGGCTCCACCCAATATAGGACGTACACGTGTCGTATTATGATAACCCGTGGCGACCGGGTTCGGGTAGCACTAAACCGAGAGAAGCACTATTAAGGAGGGCACTAAATCGTGACCCCCTGTATTGCGCCCAACGAGACACGCACGGTTACAAGTATATACGATACAGGGGAGGTTGCGATATAGTGCTACCCTGTGTCAATGGGCCGAAAACGGCACTATATCGAACCCGGCACTGTAAGATAATGAGAACGGCTTTTTTGCAGCCACTTCCTTGCATCAATGCTCAGAAAGACCGCCCGCAGGACGCCATCACTCATACTTTGCATCTTCACTACAGAGTCTGTAGTACAGACACAAGTCTAATCAAGCATTTCTGTTATTATTAGTACCGGTAGCTGCCGAGCCGTCGCATTGACTTCCTCCTTTTTCGCAGCCATAAATGCCAGCCTACACTTTTGAAGATGTCCAATTGCATCATCGGCCCTGCCTTTTTCCGCCATAGTCTCTATTCGAGTTAGCAACTGCATAATATCTTTCCGTGGCGGCAGCGGCTCTCGGGCAGTACGTCCATCCAGCTGCCTCTCTGGAGACCCTTCGTTTTTGGCTCAAAATTCGTGCCACCCGCAGAGGGGTAGCACTATATCGGAGCTGGCACTAACAAAGATAGCACTATATCGCGACCCCCTCCGTACTGTAGTGAACAGCATTTACAGTAGTATGATTTGGTAAGTTATACAATTACAGATGGATCCAGAACCCTTTCCTGACTTAGTTCCCACGCCTCAATCATTCCATTTCTCCACAATATCCACAATTCATAACAATCTGTTCCGTTTTCAACTTCCCCCCTTGGCAGTATACAAGCCCCGATCACACTTGCATGTTCTCTGCGCCACGGCCCATTCAGACTGGGTTGCGGAAACGTCCTTTCAGTGTATAATCTCAACGCCTCTGAGCCTGAGTCATGACTACCGCGTAGCACTCGCAATAGGACTACTCCATGCCCGCGTGCGATTAGAACAAAGGCTGATAGCTGAAACATTTCGAGGCAATCGAGGACGGCTGAATTGGGATAGCCTCGTGGTCGTGAAAACACTTGCAGACGGTGTACCTCCTCCACAAACGGCATCGAATTCTTTGCCGGTCTATCGCCGATTACTCGATATAGGTACAGACTGAATTCTCGGCCCACCAGAAGAAACCGTTCTTGCTTGCCATCCACTTTTTTATCGTCGCCATCATCTGTCAATTCTCCGTGCTGCCAGCCTGTAAACCCTTGCTTTCTTGTTTTCCTCTGCCTCTCCAAGAATTCGCCCCGTTCGTCCTCGTATGGTATCGAATGATTTATGCTCTGAGACGCCACTGAAGCCGCCGCGTTTTTGTCGTATTCATCACATACATGATGCTCTCTAAATTGGTCCTCATACCATTGTCGCGCGGCATCAGCACCTAGACTAGGGTCCGGCTCTACGCAATCATCATACCGAGCTATACCATTCCTGCTACAAGTCACACTCCGAATATCCTCTCGATTTAGGAATATACTCCTTCTCGGTGCTGGATGAAACGACAAGCCATTTTTCACCTGCCTCCATTGCCGGGTTGCCTGCATATCGCTCTCAAGCCACACATTATCGGTTGATGGCACCTCACACATGGCACTGTCATCAAACCAATGGACACACCATACAAACTCGTTCCAAAACGATTCTTCAGACTCTTCCATGTGGCTCTGGTAAAGGGTTTCTCCGGATGCGTATGTACCGGACTTGACATCATGTAGAGCAAAGCTACAATCGATAGAGCCGCTAGCCAACAAATTCCCGCAGGGGCTAAACTTAACAGTCGGAATGTTGTTTTGGTATGTACTTGTGATTGGCTCCGCTTCAAAAGACAAGATCTCCTCCGGGAACCGCTCCGAGCTGGATTCATTCCTTGCCTCTCCCGCCAATATCGCCCTCAAATTATCCCCGTCAAAGGACAAAACTAAAATCTTTCGTGAGTTGGCGCTGAGGGCAAAACGGCCTGTAGGGTTGTGAACATCCAGTCCCCAAGCTGAGCACAACGGAACCGTCACTGTACAAGCACGTGACATTTTCCATGACCAAGACGTCGTCAAGGAGCATTCATCTCGCAGAAGTTCAGGAACTGGACGTGGAATCCGTAGAGCGGAGATTGACGCATGTTCCTGCCCATCTGCTCTGCCTCCGGCCATAAGCAAAAGGGATCCACCTTTCTCTTCAGGGAAGTCTGCGACTCGTAGATTGTTTATGCTCACAGGTGGTTCCACTGGCACAGATATGATGGGTATGAGTTGAGTGCCTCGCGATCGAGAAATAACATAGACTGCAATGGACTCGCGAGAGTGTCCCAGATAGAGATGGTGGCCGTCCGTTGCTAGTAGGTTCATTTTTCCAGATGGTAAAGAAGATGCAAAGTCTACCCACGACCCAATAGCTCCGGAAGGCTTGGGAAGGCGAGAGAGCTCTAAAACCGGAACACATCGAAGTGGATCGTAGGACGGCGCATTGATGTTGTCCATTGCTAGGAACGTTTGGCAAGTGAGGTCCAAGCAGTTTTAGATAGAACTAGGCAAATGTCTGTAGCCTTTGTCACAAGACTTTTGACATCCGAGTCGCTATCTGGCTCACGGTTCGTTAAAGAGCTAAATCCTAGCCATTCACCTTGTCCCGGTCGACGACAAAAGGTCTGGGCACTGGACGGCGTTTTCGGTCGTAAATCGAATGACGAAAGGTGAACGCCCAGGGTGTGGGGAAGCGGGAGCGCCGATGTGCATGGGAACGGAGACTATAACCCCCTGCTGCCCTTCGGCTTATACGTGCACTCTGTCCTTGCCCCGCAAAAAAAAACACTTGTAAGAAACCAGAGAGGTGTCGCTTCAGTATTGGTTCGTCGTTCCGAAACAATACTGTACTCGAATCATATCTCGTTCAAGTGAATTTCCTATGATTCCCACGCGAAAGATCTACAGCACTTAGTGCTGTAGATCTTTCGCGTAAGACAGTAACCATTAGACCTTTAGTGCAGTTATCGCTCTGTATATTAGAGGACACGTCGATTGGTACAACAGTAGGGTAGCATACCAATCGACTCAGACGTTGCGCAGAAGATCGTCACATATGCGAAAGCGGCATCTTTGTGGTAAACACTGTGTTTTTGCATAAAGCAAATGTACAATTTATATGGACATTATCATTGGGTAAATACACAACCAAAGCCCCCTAAGATCGACTCTTTACAGAAACGACACAGTCATCATGCAAAGACCACGTATGCCGCTCTTGCCGCCAAAAGAGTTGCAACTCAAACACTCTACACTGTCAGGAACAAAACGGACTCTGTCCCTAACTACGAACTGTTCAGGCGCCCGCGAGCCTATATAAAGCGAGCAGGACGCCACTTCTTGTCACCGCACATCCTCACCCGCCCTCACTCATCCCACCAGCCCCCACGCACGCCCAACCGGCGCCCTTACACACCCAGACCCGCCTACACCCGCCCTGAACCGCCCTGACCGGCGCCCGCACTCGCACGTACCCGCCCTCATCCACCCTCACCCACACCCCACCCGTCCTCACCCGCCCTGATCCGCTCTCACCGGCCCTGATCCGCTCTCAACTGCTGTCAACCACCATGGAATACGTCACCCCCACGAAGGCTGGAAATGTTCTGAAGATACTCGCCGAGAAACGGGCGGAGCGTGAGGAAAATCTCGCTGTATTTCTCCCAGACAGTCAAGCCACTGACACTGACTCCGATGTCGAAGATTCAGACTCGCCAGTCATGGACGCCTTCATTGCGTCTGGGGGAGCCGGCGCTGTTCTTGAAATGACAAACATTTCTCTTCTAGAGTTCAACGCAATCTGGAACATTCTCAAGGATGCAATCACTACGGACTGGAATTGCGGTCGGGGTCGAAAATGCCAGCATCAACCGAAAGACGTTTTCTTTATGTTACTTTCCACGCTGAAGCACAGTGGAAATTGGGACTTTAATGGAAAGATGTTTGGCGTCAAGGGCCCAACATTTGAGCGCATGATTCTAGGGTTTGTCGAGAGGATTGTGGATGTACTGTATGATCTGGCGGTGATCAAGTATGAGAAGCGTTACACCATGCAACGTCTTCTGCATGAGAAGAAGACCTTCAAGCACTACAAGTTTGCACTGTATGCTACGGATGTCACCTTCCAGGCATGCAACAGGCCATCCGGAAATCACGAAGAGAGCAAAACCTACTTCAATAACAAGCACAAAATGTATGGGTACAAGTCCGAGGTATCGGTATTGCCAAACGGCATCGCAATTGGAGCAACGCCACATCAGCCAGGCTCTGTTTCAGACTTAACAATCTTCAGGGACAACGTCCAGTGGCATGGTTCAGCACTGGCAAAACCCCGAGAGGAAACGGAAAACTTTCCAGATGTTGGTCCGTTGGCGGAGGAATATGAGGGGCTTTGGGCTGTTTTGATGGACAAAGGTTATCAGGGCGCAGCAGATGTCATTAGGGAAATAAGTCCGAAGAAAAAGCCAAAGGGAGGAATGCTCACTTCGGAAGAGCAGCGGACAAACCGAAACATTAGTTCTGACCGCATTATTGTAGAGAACTACTTCGGGCGGCTCTGTACGCTATGGGCTGTAATGGCCAATAGATGGAGGTGGGATGAGAAGCATTACGACCACGTTTTCAAATTGTGCGTTGCGTTGACAAATTTGCATGCCAAATGGCACCCATTGAGGGATGTCGACGGTCTACACGCCAAGCAGTACAAACGGCGACTGACTGAGATCGGCGTCAAAAAAGCTGAAAAGCGTAAAGCTTCTGCGAAGCTCTACCGCGCGAAACGTGCTGCACGCATGTCCTCGGCGCTGGGTGCGGATGGAAGAGGTGAAGAGATGGGCGCGGGGGCGATGCTGGACATACTTAACACTTAGTATGCTTCGAAGTACGCCACTGCTTACTGTGTCAGTGCTCAAACTCGTTGTTCTTTCTTTATGCTTGCTCTTTTGCGCAATTTGCTCCTGTTTGCGCAACGATTGCGTCAATTGCAAAAAATAAAGTCTTTCACCTACAAACGCCGTTCTCTGCACACTGCTTAGTGTTTTCACATTTACAAAGCTACTGAATTCGAGCTCTATTGTGAACATAAATCGATTTTTTTTCGTTACAGTTGCCCTCACTCCACAAAATTATCCACAAAATAAGATCAACAACTCCATTCTTCTCCGAATAAAAGCCATTCCGGTTCTGCGCTCTTCACATTGCTTGTTTACGGGCAACAAAAAGCACATTAGGGACATGCATAGCCGCTTCGAACCAGCAATAAACCCATGAAAACAAGTCCATTTACAGTGGTACCTTCTATATATCGCACCCCAGTGTCACAACGCTTCAAAGTGCGATATATCCGATAGTGCGATGTAGCAAATACTCTCGAAAAAGATACTGTTTAGTTATGTTGAGGCAATAGAGACTATACGCCGGCTCCCATGAGAAATACTTATGACTAACTTTTCCGAAATTATTTTTCGAAACGTTCGAGCCGAAATTCCGTCTCACACGTAATGTAATGTCGTATACGCTGGAAGCAGCCGGAGTATTAATGTGAGTATTACATAGCAGCGCGCGAAGGCGGAACCCAGTCCAAGTGTCTCAAGATGGTGACACAGGCGGATTACACATTATCTGCTTGTCGTCGCAGAGCAACAGCTCTGTCTGTAGCTACCGGAGCTGTATGGCGACGACGCACGAAAGCTCCGAGATCGGCGTTTTCTTCCTCTGCAGTTTTGTTGCAACTGGCTACCTTAGCACAACATGAGGCAAACGAGGAAGAGACCATTTTGACGCGCTACAACCGTATATCAGTCAGCGACTTTCCTTTTAACTTCAACGCTCTAGGGGACAAGCAGTGCCTGCTTCTCTTCCGTTTTAAGAACAAGCACGTTCTAAGGATGGTTGCGGCCGTTGCTTGGCCTCCCATGAAACGGTCTACCTCTCGAAACCGCTATGCGGTGACAAGTATTCTAGCCACGTGTCTTGTTCTTCGCAGAGTATCATCCCCGGCGCGGTGGACGGATCTGGAGATGCTCTTCGGAAAGAGACACCCGCACCTGTCCGAAATATACTGGGAAGCTCTAGAGAACATGTGGCAGGTCCATAAACATGTTATGACGTCGATCGCACCCTCTTTCTTACAGCCGAGAGCTGCTATGTACGCCGAGGCTGTACACAAAAAAGGCATGGCCTTGCCCAACTGTGTGGGATTCATAGACGGGACTGTTATCGGCACAGCGCGACCCAAAGGTTAACGGCGTCGGCGTGTTGTTTACAACGGCCACAAACGCAAGTATGCGCTCAAATATCAGGCTGTAAACACTTCAGATGGACTAATTTTGCATGCGGCTGGCCCCATGGAGGGCCGTAGACATGACTGGACGCTGTACGTTGATAGTGGGCTTGAAACGTTCCTTCCCGGAGTTCTAGAGGTGGCGGGAACGCGGTACTGCTTATACGGAGATTCGGGTTACAGCCGTAGATGGAATTTAGAAGTACCGTTTCAGGGAAGTCTGGTGGCAGGGGCTCAATCTGCATTCAACGGCGCGATGTCTGGAATGCGCATCACCGTTGAATGGATTTTTAAAGGGGTGAAAATGCACTTCACCATAGTTGACTTTAAGCGCAAGATGAAGCTTTTAGAAGGGCCGGTTGGATTGCTTTTCCTCTGTTGCATGTTCCTCAGCAACTGCAGGAATTGTATTTATCCCAACCAAATCGCGCAGTACTTTGACTGCGCACCTCCCAGCCTAGAGCAGTACCTAGCAATGCACACGGAAGATTAAAAAGAGGCTACGATAGTGCTGACTTCGAGGACTCAGTCCCTACAACAAGGCACTAGTATGCATGCGGACTGCATGCATGACGTAGGAGACCCCGAGCAGGGGCAGCCCAGCAGGTGGGTGCCTGGCAGTTCGGGGCGGCCCCAGCCGAACAAGCGCTTTACTTCGAGCGGGTCGTGCCGCGCGAGCGAGCCGCAGCGGGACAGGCGGTGTGATTAGGTGAGACGCCGGGCGAGGGCGAGTTTCAGCTCGGAATTGAGGATGCAGGTTCGGTGGCTGATGCCGTCGCCGATGACAGCCGGCACAGATGACAGCAGGACGTGTTCGTGAGAGAGGCGTGGCGGCTGCGTGCGCAGCCCCAGGCCGTGCGGGCGCTTCGTGCGCTTTAAGCGCGTGCAGAAGTGGGCGCGCCCGCGTACAGATCAGATGCGGCCCGACTGGCTCGGCAAGTAGCGGCGCGCACGTGAGTGCGCGAGAGCCGGGGGACGAAGCTGGAGGAGCGACGTGGGCGTCGCCGGGAACGGCAAGGGAAAGACGAACACGAGGAGGACGAGAAGTAGGAACGGGAGTCGTGGGCGGAAGGGCAAGTGAGCATGGGGGGGCGCTGAAATGGCGGTGTAGCGGAGCGCGGGGGTCGAGGCAGGTTGAGAGGGAGAGCGAAAGGTGAGATGGAAGGGGTCGGGAAGT